CGAGGCCGCGCAGCGCCGCGCAGATACGCGCGGGGGGCGGAAGACAGTCCAGGCAGAGGAGCTCCACGTCGCAATGGTGGCGGCTGACGAAACATGCGCGGCAGACTGCCTTCTCGCACTGCCCTCGACTCCCCAGGTAGCAGCGTTCAGGGAACGCCGCGAACCTGGGGCCTCTGTTGGCACATGACCCATTGATGCGGGAATTCGACGCGCTGGAGCGAGCCATGCGAATGGAAGACGACGACGCACCCGACGGGGTCTCGAGGCCCCCGGTCGGTCGGACCCCGCGCCCCTGGCCCGCGGAGAGCGATCGCGGAGGATGGGGGCCCTCACTGCACTGAGGTTCAGGCGCCTAGCACGCCAAATCCCCCGCGGACTGACTGGCGGGAGAGGCGATCCAGGAACACGGCCCCTGGGGTCGCCCCCAAATTCGAACGCCTGGCTCTCCTCCAGCATTCCCTCCGTCTTGGTCCGCTTCACAGCTGGGATCCTGACCAACAAGCTGACGGCCTCCCGCGGCTGCTTCGCCGCGGGCACTCTCGACCCGGCTGCCTCTTCGGCGTTTTGCTGGACGCCTGCAAGCATGCCGGTCATCATCTCCGCCATTTCCCCGCGCAGGTTTCCCCGCGATGTTTCTGCGACGCATACGTCAAAGGGCACAGACGTCGGCGATGGCTCCTGGGCCGAAATCCGAGACGACCAGAGACCATAGGCCTCGGAATCCCCCCCGGATGACTCATCAAAAGCGCCCCGGCCCAGCCGGAGTCGACTTGACCGACTCCGCTTCTTCCGACGGGACGGATGCGTGATCGTCCACCGTTCCATCCTAGTCGGGGGAGATCACGCAGGCTGGACGCACGCCGGGCGGCAATGGGCGCCCGTCCAAGTTACTCGACCCATAATATTCGGCGCCCGCCTCCGCCATGTCTGCGTCCGCGCGCGGGGTATCACGAAGGCCTGGGCCTCTTTCCGCCGGCGCACCCCCCGACGACAGCGAGAAGATGTTTTTGAGATTCGGAAGAAAAAAAACGCGAGTCGGAGACCCTGACGCAATCAGGGGGCTCGGGCTCGAAGACGATCTGTTGGACACTTTCTCAGCCGTGGCATTGTTCTTCGACCCTCGAGGCAGGAAGCATAGCTTCGTGATTTGTTGGTGAAATTTCCCGCGAATCCGCCGACCCTGTCGGCGTGTGTGAAGGGTTTTTCCGTTCGCGTCGTGTTTTCTTTCCTGCTCGGCTTTCTCTAGCCGCATCCAGTTTCCCCTTCCCTTTCCCTTCCCCGGTGCAGAGGGGGGGGGGGGGGGGGGCGGACCCGGGGGGGTCCTGGGGGGGCCCCCGGGGGGAACCCGGAGGGTCCCCCCCCCAGATCCGACTCCCCCGGCAGCCTTCGAGAAAACCAGGAGGGCGTCGCGAGGAGGTTCTCGTCCTCATCCTCCTCGCCCTTCTCCTCCTCCTCCTCCTCCTCCTCCTCCTCCTCCTCCTCCTCCTCCTTCGCTTTCTCCTCCCCCTCCTAGCCCTTTCGATCAGGGTCGGCGGCACTGGCCGTCAGGCCTCTCCAATAATCCACATGTTGTCAAGTCACCATGGGTTCGGACAGTCTATTGTTCCTTTTGATCTGCTCTTGTTCTTGATGTAATTGCCATCGCAATTCTAGTCCCAAGTTACGCCTCGCAGGGGATGCACGTGCCGCCATGGCTACAGAATGTCCGTTAAGCAAATCAACTGTGAGAAAACTGTGTCGGAGGTGAGGGGGTGAGATCGAAGTGGAACGGAGAGCCCCCCCACCGGGAAATCGATTTCGGTTTCGTGTTCGTGCGTGCCGTGCGGGCGAGGCGAAGCTGCGTGGGCGGGCGAGAGAAAGTCTCCTGTGGCTGAGGCGCGGCCGGACCAAATGATTCCCTTCCGGGCGGCCGGGGCCCCACGTGTGCCGCCGGTGTCCCGCTGGTGTCCCGTGTGGCTGAGGCGCGGCCGGACCAAATGATTCCCTTCTGGGCGGCCGGGGCCCCGCGGTGTCCCGCCGGTGTCCCGCTGGTGTCCCGTGTGGCTGAGGCGCGGCCGGACGGAATGATTCCCTTCCGGGAAGCCGGGGCCCCGCGGTGTCCCGCCGGTGTCCCGCCGGTGTCCCGTCCGTGTCCCATCGGTGTCCCGATGATGATGTTGATAATGATTATGATGATGATTCTGATGATGATGGTGATAATGATGATGGTGATAATGATGATGACGTTGATGATGGCGATGATGATGATGTTGATGTTGATGATGATGATGATGATGATGATGATGATGATGATGACGTCGATTGCGAGATCGACTGTGATATCGGTAGTGAGACCGAATGTGAGACCGATTGTGCGATGCTGATGGTGATGATGGCTTTCATGGTGTTGATGTTTGTGATTATGATGACGACATTGATGATGATGATGATGATGATGATGATGATGATGATGATGATGATTGTGATGTTGATGATCATGATGAATACGATGATGATGATGCTGTTGATGATGATGATGTTGATGGTGATGTCGATGATGATGATGACGACGTGGATAGTGATATCGATTGTGAGATCGGTAGTGAGACCGAATGAGACAGCGAATGAGGTCTTCTCTCAGGTTCTCCTCCACCACGCACCCCTCGGTTCTGGACCTCTCCTTTTCCCTCCTCCTCCCCATCTTAGCTTCCTCATCCTCCGAGGGTCTTGGGGGCCATGTTCGTCGATCCTCGGTCGTCGATCCTCGGTCGTTGCTGGACCGGGCTGCCGAGTAATTGCCTGGAGCTCCGGCGCTGTTTTCGCGTCCTCGTCGTCGTCGTCGGTCGTGGTGAGATCGATAGTGAGATCGATTGTGAGATCCATTGCGAGGTCATTAGTGATATCGATACTGATATCGATTGTGAGATCGATACTGAGACCGAGTGTGAGATCGATTGTGAGATCAATAGTGAGACCGAATGTGAAATCGATTGTGAGATCGATTGTGATATCGATAGTGAGATCGACTGTAAAACCGAATGTGGGCTTGTGAGATCGATAGTGAGACCGAATGTGAGATCCATTGCGAGATCATTAGTGAGATCGATTGTGAGATCGATAGTGAGATCGGTTGTGATTTCCATTGCGAGATCACTAGTGAGGTCGATTGTGATATCGATAGTGAGATCGATTGTGAGATCGGTACTGAGACCGAATATGCGATCGATTGTGATATCGATAGTGAGATCGATAGTAAGACCGAATGTGAGACCGAGTGTGAGATCGATAGTGAGATCGATAGTGAGACCGATCGAGTGAGACGTTGGTTCCTCCCCCCCCCCCCCCGAACCTCCTTATCACCCGAAGGGTGGTCGTATAGGTAAATATAGAATTCTGTGTTTCGTTTATATATACACACAGACGCGCCGGCTGGAGGGCGCGCGCGCGCGCTTTGCCCTGACAGCTGACATACAGCTGCGAATGATGTCAATGTCGTCGCTACCGCCGCCAACCTATTTAGCAGGAAGCGGCGGCGGCAGCGGCAGGGCACATGAGGGGAGTGTATGTAAATGACTTTGTGAGCGCACAGGGCCACAAGCCTTTTCGAGTTTCTTGGGGGTACTGCTACCGAGGTCCACTAGGTGACGAAATTCAGCCAACCCATCGAGCCAAACATCACAAATGTTGGAAGCGCCTCAGATGCCAGCCGTCTAACACACCCGTATGACCCCCAAACCTACGACCTACGACTGATGGATCTGAGCACTCCTGGTGTGGTGGCGACCCTCACTCGGACAAGGCACACCCCCTCCTCTTCCTCCTCCACCTCCTCCTCCTCCAACTCCTTATCATCCGTCCGTCCGTCTTCCCTCCCTCCCTTCCTTCCGTGCACTACTATTCCTTTCGACGTTCATCCAGCGCCTCCTTCTCCTCCTCCTCCTCCTCCTCCGCCTCCGCCTCCACCTCTTCATCCTCCTTATGATACCATTACCATCCCCATCCACATTACCAGCAGCAGCAGCAGCAATAGCATCATCAGCACTATCACCCTCATCATGCTCGCCGTCATCCCCCTTGCATCATCACCGCTGTCATCATCATTGACATCAGCATCATCATCATCAGCAGCAGCAGCAGCAGCAACAGTAGAAGCAGCAGCAGCAGCAGCGACGTCATGATCAGCAGCATCGTCATCACCACCATCGTCGCCATCGTCGATCGTCCTCATCATCATCAGCTTCCTCAGCATCATCAACAGCATCAGCAGCATCAGCATCATCATCACCATCAGAATCAGCATGGTCATAATCAGCAACATCATCATCATCATCATCACCATCACCATCACCATCAGCATCATCATCACTTTCCGATTCATCATCAGCAGCAGCATCACAGTCGTCGTCAGCAGCAGCATCACCACTACTGCCGCCACTACCACCAACACCATCATCATCATCCTCATCATCATCATCAGCATCAACATCACCATCGTCGTCGTCAACGTCATGGTCTTCATCGTCATCGCCGTCGTCATCATCAGCATCAGCATTATCATAATGATCATCAGCATCCTGTGTACCAGCATCAGAATAATCCATCAACTGCAGCAGCAGTCACAGCATCATCAACAGCATCGTCATCATCAGCAGCAGCATCAGCATCAGCAGCATCATCATCATCAGCAGCAGCATCATCGTGGTCATCATCATCAGCATCAGCATTGTCGTCATCAGCATCACTATCCTCACCATCATCATTATCATCATCATCATCATCATCATCATCATCATCATCATCATCATCATCATGAACAGCATCATGATCGTCGTCGTCGTAACCATCAGCAGCATCATCATCGGCATCATCATCATCATCAGCAGCAGCATCATCATCGCCATCAGTATCATCATGCTTCTGCTCCTCAAACGCAGACTCCCCCTCCTCCTCCGAAGCATCGTCCTCACCCTCGTCCTCCTCTCAGACGGTGCAGCAGCAGCGGCATCGGGAAGAGGGCGCTCCTTGCACTTGGTCCTGCCGCACTCACTCACCTCTGCTCGGCGGGAGGGTGGGACGAGAGGAGGAGCGCGGGTGGAGGGGGGGAGGCGGGCGGGAGAGAGGTGGTATCCACCGCCCCCCCTCATCTTCATGATCACCATCACAATCACCGTCATCATCATCATCGACATCATCAGCAGCATCATAATCACCATCATCATCAGCAGCAGCAGCAGTGGCATCATCATCAGCAGCAGCATCTCAGCATAATCATCATCATTATTAGCATCATCATCATCATCATCATCATCATCATCATCATCATCATCATCATCATCAGCATCATCAGCATCATCAGCATCATCATCAGCATCAGTAGTATCATCATCATCAGCAGCAACATCTCAGCAACATCATCACCATCACAACCACCATCACCATCGTCGTCATCATCATCATCAGCAGCATCACCAGCATCACATCCTCATTCTTCTCCTTCAGGTACCTCACTACTGGCCTTCACCGGGACTATGCAGAGAGAGAGAGAGACCCAGGAGTGGCCCACGCCACGAGTACATTACAGACGTGGCCAGACCTGGCTTCCTCCCCCTCGTGCGCAGGAGGGCAACTCGGGTCTGGCCTAAGATTCGTGCCGACATCGGTACAGGCACCTGCAGTCGGACTTCATTTGACAGGACACGCGAGAGGACACAAAACCCTTCCGAGGGCCGCATCGCCATAGGAGTGGAACAAGACACGTGTCTCGAGGCACAGCAGGACACAAAGGGTACCCTTGAGCTGGCAGGGTCGACCTGCTAATCCGGGCCGACTGTAGTCAGCAGGATGGGGTCCTCAAGGCCTCTGGACCTTGAAGCACCCCTGTGGCGACCTCTACACGGTCGCCGAGGGAGCCTGGGAAGAGGACCTGTATTGGTCCATCGTCCCCGGGCGCGTCCACAAAGCCCTCCAGGTCGGCCTCTGAAAGGAGGCTGCGGAGTACCATAACTGTAGAGGCTTAAGCGAAGGAGCCCACACCACGGACCTGTGCAGCCAACTCAAAGCCCTCGAGCGCAAAGGGGCGCATAAGCTGCGGGGGTGCTTGGCAAACCTCTCGACTGAGGGTTTTCGGCCATTGTCACGCCTCGAGCAGGCTGGCGTTCAAGCTGAAACAGTCCTCTGCCGCCGCTGCCAGCGCTGCCCTGAGGCGGATGTCCATCTTGTTTGTGCATGCCCCACCAATGCTAGTTTTGAGGGCTGCAAGGAGACCAGCCGCCTTTGCGCTGAAGCCAGAGCTGAATACATTGCGCACCCTCGCTACTGGCTCCGCGGACTCATTCCAACACCTTGGGACAAGATTCCGGACCCCGAGGACGACCTGCTAGTGGGCAAACACTTTCACCCTACCCCCGAACCCCTGCCGACCACCACTCTCGCTCAACCCCTTCTGGGGTCCCTGCTCCGCAAAGGCAGGATCTGGCTTGGCGGGGACGCGTCGGGGGGGAGTACAGCAAGCACCCTCGCCGTAGGAGAATGCCTCGGGCCGAAGTCGCGCGCAAGTTTGGGAATGATCCGCTCCTGGGCCAGGACGCCCCTCTCAAGGCGGGAGGCTTCGGGGGAGCACTCCCCGGTTCGAGCCCGGGGATCAACAGGGGAGGGCTTCTCTCTTTCCGGGAGGCCTTGGCGGCCACCAGGGGGATGATCCTGGCGAATATCACGGACCCCCTCTTTGCTGTTAGGGGGGCTGTTCAACCTTTCCAGAGGCGCCTGGTCTCCCAGGTCCCACAAAGACTTGTGGCACTCGGTGGAGAAGGAGACGTGGCGGCCCACGAAGTGGCTAGACGCCTTTCGGAAGACCAGAAGACGTCGGCTAGCCATGAGGCTTCGAGATTTTCAGCGGTCAACGAGGCTGCCTCGGCCCAATTCCCGAGGCAGATACTCAGCCCCTTTCTGGAACTGAAAGAAACCAACACCATCCCTAATAGAATCCTTGCATTCACCGCCTTCTTTTACCCTCACAACCCAAGCGGAGGGCAACGTGCACACCGGGAAGGGGCAAGGCGCCGCGCCCGGATCTCGAGGCTGCCCGTACAGAGGCCACCCACCACCCTGCACCCTGTGAGGTGAAAGTGCCGCAAATGCGGCTTCGAACCCATCTCGCGCGGGAGGAGGAGGAGGAGGAGGAGGAGGAGGAGGAGAAGGAGGAGGAGGAGAAGGAAGAGGAGGAGGAGGAGGAGGGGGAGGAGGAGAGGGAGAAAGGGGAGGAGGAGGAGGAGGAGGAGGAGGAAGAGGAGGAGGAGGAGGGTCCCTTGCAGGGGGTGCCTCAGCCCAGGCGGGGCGGGCACTCTTGACACGGCAAGAGAAGGTATCCGCGTCATCGCTGCCATGCGGGCCTTCCGCCCAGTTACTCTCTACACATGATGTGTAATGGCTGTGTGTTCTTTCTAGGCTGCCCTGACAATCTCTTAAGCCCAGATGGCAGCTGGAGGAGGAGGAGGAGGAGGAGTAGGAGGATGAGGAGAAGGA